GCTGCCAGCGCTCATCATGGCTCGGTCTGAGCTACTGCTGAGGCTTCTCATCGGGTCATTCCATGACGTGAGCTCTTCTGTTACTCGTTTCCTGTGAGTGCAGGTTGACCTTTGTTCTGTCCCTCATAATTAATGCTAGTGTTTACTGAATTCTCACTGAATGCTGTTTTGGGAAATGGATGTAATGCGCACAATACAGTAAGAAAATGACCGGGAAGCGTCTTGCACGTTGAGTTAGCTCAGTACTAGTTAAGCAAGTCAGGTGACTTGGTAAGTAGTCAGAAGTCGTTCCGGTTCTACTGGCTATGAACCACCTACCCCGCAGCTATACCTGCAGCACCGTCAGGATTGAACAGACTCCCTGCATTCCCCCAAGGCTTTCGGCATTTGTGCAGTTATGTAACAAACGATTCCGAGTGAGCCACAATTGAGGCTAACATGCTAACCTGTCCTAGGAAAATGAACTTGACGTCAAAGCTAATTTGTTTGACTTCATGGAACATATCTATTCCAAGCGCCCTGGTCGCAAGCGTTACTCAAATCTAATGGCAAGTGGATCATACCTCGATTATGATTTAAGTGAAACGAAAAGCTAGTTTAAAAGCATCGCTTCTAAAAATATCAAGGTTTTCAAACCGAGGACTAATTAGAATAGCCTTTTTCGCCATCTAAGCCGCCATATACAGACACACTCCCATCTCGACGGTCTAATTCAATCCAACAAATTTCCTACGCCCTTATTATATTTCTGCTCAATGCTCATTTCATTGCTCTTTGTAACGCTCTTTGTAATCTAATTCCTGATTTACTTATTACCTAGCTGACGGTTGTAATGATCACAGTGGCTGCATTTTTTGTTTACAACATCCAACATTCTGCGAATGCCCGATCTACGAAGTGGCGGGCGGGCCGCGCCCCCGAATGCTACCGCTTCCTGGCCGGCCACTGGACCGGTCCGGCGGGGCAGTGGCGTCCTCGCCCGGGGGCACAGCAGTCAGCTGACTGCGGCCGCGGCTCGGTCGGCCGTCTGGCGGAGCGCCTACCGGGCTCGGTCACAGGTGCGCGCACGGAACGGCTATCACAGGTGCCGGGGCGATCAGCAGATCGGTACATCTATCAGCTGTGGTTGGGTGGATGACTACTATGCATTTCAGACCCCATGAGACCCTGTTTTTTGGCGATAATTTATTTAATCTTTATCCAATTGGCTTGAAATTTTCGCAAAGCACATTTCAGCTCAAGCGCCAATTTTCGCTAATATGGTCTTTTAACAAAATATCAATTGTTAGGGTACTTGTCGTTGCCTCGTAATGTTAAAATCAGCTCCGTAAATCCGTCAGTGGAGTAGAGGCTATCCGTACGTAGGTGTGACGTCACAGGCACGTGACCATTAAGCTCCGCCCTCACGGCGGACGGGCGGTGACCTTGGCCGGTCAGTCGGATGCGTGGAGCCGACGGGGCAGTAGCTGCCGGACCCAACGCCGTATGCCGGACCGGGGCGGCTCGCATTGGACGTGGCTTCCTTGCGGTCGCCGTTGCAGTAATAACGATACAGCAGAAACTAACGCTCGTAATTAGCACACTAGCCTTCGTTATGGCATTTATCGCAAATTAGCCTACACCATGTCAATCAATAAAGATATGGGTATTGCGTAAGTTACAAGTTCAGTAAGTTCAGGGCTAGTGACTGCATTTTTGCTTGATTTAACGTCATTAAAAAAACGTTGATGTCAATTGACTGTGAACTGATGCAAGACGTCGGTCAGCTTACGTCAAATTTGCAAGACATGATAAACATTTACCTACACCGTAGCATTTAAGAAATGTGGTTGCAATATGAAATATATTATGCTTATGCGTATCCTTGAGATGGATTCATGCGATTGCGGTGCAACATGAACACCTTCAGAACTAACCCATTTTATAATTGGCTAGTTTGAGGTCACCGGACTGACTTGATCCCAGGATTTCGTGTTGAACTACAAATAATTAAAATACCTGTAAGTAAGTAGCCTACTGCCTCATTATTGGAGAGCTTGAAAAGTTACTTTAGTTTGACAAAAAGACGCGATTTCTTTACTATAGCCATCTATAGCCAATGCGCTTGTTTCCCTTATTCTGATGTCACATTTCTACCATGCGCAATAAATCGCACATCACATTTCTGCTCCCTTCTCAACGCTTCCCGAATTACGAACACAGCTCTTAGAGCGACGTCTTAGGCAATCGGAAGTGCTCGCAACTCATCATCCTTACTCCGTTGCTTTCTGCATAGGTATAACAGCGTCTTCAGAAACAGCGATTGACGCAACGACAACGCAACGCAGCGATTGAAGCAACAATATCGATATTTTCGAGTAGTGCAGGGGCATCGCATGCCATGGGTGACAGAACAATGGCACGACCTGACCATGAGATAAGCGCCAGAATGTGCATTCATTCAGATATTCAGATAGTGCATGACTCAGCTCTCTATTTAAGGTTGGTTCTGGGGAGGTTGATATCCTCATTATGATTATTCTTCATATTCTGAGCTGGATCGGTGTTACCTAATATACCAAAAAGAGAGAAGCGGTTACCAACTCCCACAAATGAAGAGCAAACTTTCGCTCAGGCACTTCCTGTCGATTCCATGCATGTTTCCAGCGCGCGGACCCCGTGCGACCTCCCCGCGGTGCTGCCGCCGACTGAGCCGGCATAGACCCAGCGCGGTCACGGCCAGTGGGCGGAGTTTAGTTGGGCCCGGCGCAACGTGATTGGCCAGCGCTCCCATCCAATCCGCTGCGGTAGCGAACGAGCCTCTATCCGGGTGCAAAATCTTATTAGCATTACGAGCCTATGATAAGTGCTCTAAATATTGATATTTTGTTAAGAGACCATATTGATGAAAATTGGCGCTTGAGCTGAAATATCTAATGTCAAAATTTCAAGCTAATTGGACAAAAATTGAAGAAATTTTTGCCGAAAAGCAGGGTCTCATGGGGTCTGAAATGCATAGTAGGAGAATCTGTGTGTGTTTAGTGTGAGGTGACACGTGCGACAGTGAGCCGAGGGGTGGAGAGCCGTGCGCCGTGCGGCGTGCGGTCGTGACCTGCGGGGTGGTTACTGTTACCGGGGGTTTGAGGTTTAGTGACCTGACATTTCTTGAGCTGTGTAATTTAAGTTGTGGTGAGAATTGTGGCGAGCATTGGTGACAGAGGTGATCTGCGGTTAGTGGCCTGTGATATCGTGAAGTGGCCGTTGACCTGAATTTTGAGGGAATTTGGGCGATCTGGTGATCAGTAGCAAGTGAGGGTGGTGTTTTGCGGTCCGAGCTGTGTCGTGTCGGTGTCTTTGTGGTTTCAGTAATCTGAGATGTAGTGGCATGTGGCGTGGTAGCCTGTGACTCGGTGAGCTGTGTGCTTGTGACCCGTGACCCATGACCTGTATCTGTGTCCCTTGACCTGATGACCTGTGTTTGTGACCCATGACACAATGACCTGTGTTTGTGACCCATGACCCATTAACCTGTGGAGTGTGAGCTATGACCTGTTTCTTACGATTGATTCGGCAATCTGTCAGTCGTGACCTCAAGTGAGGTCATTGTTATGTAGCAATAAGGTTGGAATTTATTCATTTGAATAATCACATGAAAAGAACCTATTATTTTATCAGGTGTTTTAAAAGTATTCGTGCATTTCCCGACCCTGTTTTGATGTCAGTCCCTTTATATATTTGAATTTCATTTTAACCGGAGTTTAACATTTCTGGCAAAAATAAATCATTTAGGCTTGGACGTGCATTGGTTACGTAGTGTGTAGATTCCACAATCCACGTGACAACAGGATACGGCCACGGACAAACTCCACATACACTACGTTTCCATGACACGTCTAAATCGATTTAGCGAAATTTCACGTGCGTTTTTCTCGGAAACTATTTACCTTATGCAAAAAATGCGCGTAGATATGGTTTTAGCTATAGTTCGTTTTTCTTAAGTTTGCCCCCTTGCCCCTCACTGTAAACGTCTTTTTGAACACAGCACGAGAATTGCTAGCTGAATTACTGAGACAACTGGCTGGCGCACATTGATTTCACTAGATTTCACAGACGATCAATTTGATCAAATTTGTTTACTATTTCACAGACTCATAGCTCGTAATTACCAATACCTACAGCTCCACAGTGATAGACGACTTCTCAGGAATTATGTCTGAACTAATTAATAAATTGCACGGCGTTTAACATTAACGTTACATCGTCGGTGTTCAAAACTTATTTTGAAAATATTATTCATATCTCCAATACAATGTGCGCCAACCAGTTTTCTCAGTAATTCAGCTAGCAATTCTCGTGCTGTGTTCAAAAAGACGTTTACAGTGAGGGGCAAACTTAAGAAAAACGAACTATAGCACCTAATCCTATATTTACATTTTCAAATTACGCCTAAATGCTATGATGGAGCAAATCCTTTTTCAAAATCGGCTTAGATTGTGTCATGGAAACGTAGCTATAGTTGCCTTTTTGACGTGTTTAATTTGTCTCCCGTAACGTTACATCTTTAGTGCCCTGGTTTCATCGATACAAAATGCAAAGCTTATGCAGCTGATGGAAATGGATTCCTCAACATTTTTTACTTACCTTCTTAGGAAAGGTGTTTTAATTGATATTCCACCAGGCAACTGAAAAGTTTATTGCCTATTTTCTTAATATTTCCTTGCATATTGCGTGAACTCTTGCAGTGCTTCGCTCACTCCGTGTGGTTTACTGTGACATGTGTCCGTGTTTGGCTGTTTCTTTAGGCGCGATAGTGAGCTTATCAGTGTTTTGTACTCTGTGTTTGCTTGTGTTCTTAGTGGAGCAACGGGAACGGGTGGGAACGAAATCGTGTTTTATTGGCTACAGAGTATAGTTGATGGAACGACAAAAAGTGCTTGAGATGTGACTTAAATTTTACACGAAAGTCTCTTTACTGAGCATCCATTTCCTTCCATATATTACATTCGGCCTCATTCCAATTATCTTCGAAAGTTATAAGGCCTCGGAAACTCCATGCCAAGCCTCCAGTGTAACCCGTTACCCATCACCCGGCTCAGGTGCAGGTCACGTGACCGGTCCGGTCCAGGCTCACGCGGAGGAAAAACGGTGTCGACGCGGCGGGACCGCACACACACACACAGCGGCACACACACAGACAGACGGACAGACGGACTGCCCGGGTCGGGTGTCGGGTGTCGAGTGTCTGTGGGCGGAGCACTGCCGGTGTCGCACGTCAGTAGCACGTGAGGGTCTTCAGCCGTAGGCACCGGCACCTCAACAGTGAAGAGCCCGAGCGCTTCTGTGAATGAAGGGCTGGAACGCCTCTACCATAGCGCTCTGAGGAAAGCGCAACTTCACTGCTGTGACGACGTGTGAAGACGGCGTTATTGGCCAGGCTTAGTGCCTGAAGCTTTGCAGTGAGCACCGAACAGTGACGTCATTCTCAGAGACCTCAGTGACGTCATCGAAAACGGCTGGTCGTTGTGTGTGTGCTCTGAGAGCCCGCTGTTATCTGCAAGTGACCACACGATAGCACCTGAGAGGCTCTAGTTGGCGGGCGGGTGAGACCCAGGCCGGCCGTGTATTGCTGCTGTGACTCCGTGCATGCACAAGAACCATTGGAGGACTGTCACACCCGAGTGCTAATCACGAGGGGCCACTCGAGTCTGATCCGATCGGCACGGCTCTGTTGGATGCCGTCTCACTCCGCCTAACCAGGTGTGGTGTCCTCAAGTTGAGCTGCTTCACTAGGAGAGGATTCAGGGCATCGGCAGTTAAAACTTCATACCTCCCAGACGGACTCTTCCCGTACCATGCACGACCAGCTCTCGATGGCGACGGGTCACTACGTGCCGCTGGACGACTCGCGTTCGGGCGCGCCACGTGCGCACGTGCGCCGCTGTTTGTGCCTGCGGCGCAGCACGTGCCTGCTGCTGTTGGGCACGTGTCTATACGTGGCGTGGCTGGCAGCCGGCGCCGCCGTGTTCTCGTTTCTGGAGCAACCCGCAGAGGACAGACTGCGGAGCCAACTGAACGAGCGCATCAGCCAGTTCCTGGAGGATAATCAGTGTGTGCCAGGTGCGTCCGACGGGGAGAGGGAAGGAGCGGCAGGGGAGAGGGAGGGAGTAGCAGGGGAGAGGGAGGAGCGGCAGGGAGAGGGAGGAGCGGCAGGGAGAGGGAGGAGCGGCAGGGAGAGGGAGGGAATGATAGGGGAGAGGGAGGAGCGACAAGGGAGAGGGAGGAGCGGCAGGGGAGAGGGAAGAGCGGCGGGGGAGAGGGAGGACCGGCAGGGAGAGGGAGGGAGTGGCAGGGAGAGAGAGAAGCGGCAGGGGAGAGGGAGGGAGTGGCAGGGAGAGAGCTGTCGGATGTAAGAAGGGAGCGCGAGGGACAATGTGGGTAATTAATTACCTGTACTTAGCTGTGGGCAAGGCCATAAATACTGCTGCGGGTCATTATGGGGAATCGTGCACAAACCATCAGCTTTCGGGTCCTATAAGTTTATTTTAAAGATGTTACATGCTGATATGAATGAGCTATGGGCTTAAGATGCAAGCAAATTTTTTTCGTTGCGATTTGATGTAAGATTGACAACGGAAAGGATATGACATTTTTCTCATTTCCGACCTATGCTATAGCACGAATTAGGTGAATTACACAAATTTCAATATTCCAGTCCAGGCACATTTGATATGCATTATGCAATACATACATAACATACCATAGCACACGACGCTGAACTTTACCATAAAACATCAACTTCTAGCCTCCCTCGACCCGTAACTTGAAGACCCTTGAAGACAAATGCTAACTCAATCACATAACGCACACTCGCCGCCCTAAATTACCCTTTACTCCTTATGCACGAGTGATACTTTGTCGTGGGGCCGTTGTCCGAAATGCTGTACGGACAGTTATCCCTTCTGTCACCCTCGTCTGGCTCTGCGGAGAGTCCGAGTTTCAGTTGAAGTTAGCGCACTGACTGCAGTCACTGGCCTTAGGACTGCAGACGTAGCCGCGCCCAACCCCGACCAACAGCTCTGAACAAATCTCGGACGGCCGATTAGGCCACGGAACTTGGCCAGGCGACCGGTTTATGCTCCTAGTTGGCTTCCTCAGTGGCGGCCTCAGAATCAGTGCTTCAATGCGTTGTTCCACTCGATTGGTGGACAAACCTACTTTCAGGTCCGAAATGTGGAAAGTTTTGACGTAACTGCAAGCAAGTACATCAAACTGATTTGGGAAATCGCTTGCCTTGCCATTAGTGGGAGCGAAAACACTCATAGAGTGGGCAATAAATCTGCAGAAATCTGCAGAAGTGGTAAGTTACCGCAATTTGTAGGGTGAAGCTCTCTACTTTCAATGTTTATTTAGACTCACTGACAGTAACGAGTCAAGCTGCAAGACAAGCGTGCAGTTTCCTGTTAAGTGTTTGTAAAAAAAGGGGAAGCTGTAAGATGTACCTGACAGGGATTTTATAAGCTAAATTTCTGCTTTCAAAGGCTTCGCGACCTATACCGATGCTTTATTACTACGTACAAAAAATGGTTAGTCATTCAAGAATACGCTTTCACATTCCTGTACGCTGTCGTTGGTCTCTTCTTTTTAACGGAGGAGAAGTGCCATTGCTTTTGTATATGAATCAAGTCAAGGTAAAGCGTCGTTTTGGATTTGAGGTCTTAGCACCTATCTCCAATGTTAGGGTCTTCTCATCAGCTATTTTCCCACAAGTCTGCTCGACTTGAGGTCGACTGGAAAAATATATAAATCGGATGATATTCCAGTTTGCTTTGGAGTGAAGGAAATAATATGACGCCTTTGAAGAATGCAAAATAATTTGTTCACCAGCAGTAGGCAGTATACAAGGTCTTCTCATAATACACTTTCATACAATTAACTGTGCTGCTCACATCCAGTATGGTCAAGCATATACATGACTTCTTGACAACTGTGCCGAGTATCCTAAGCTGCCGACGCGATATCTAAGGCCCGCTCCGTTACATATCCTCGCGCCGGCGCTGGAGTCGCCACAGATGTGATATACTGTCATCCCGCTCTGGGTCTTCACTGGAGGGCCTCCACTAGAGATGTCAATCGGATACCAACTTTTTGGTATACCGATACCAAACCGATACCAACTCGGTATTTGGTATTTCAATCCTAATGTGTTCGGTATTTTGTTGGTGTCATGAACCATCGCTAATGTTTAAGAGGCTAAGAAATATGTAAAAAATTGGTATTTTCCTCATGTTCCCAAGTTGGTTTGGTTTTTGGTATTTCTCTACGGTTTGGTTGGTATTTGGTTTGGTATCGATATTCCGATTTTCCGTAATTGACATCACTAGCCTCCACACAGTTGAGGTTCATTCACAGCCCGCTCTGACGCGTCCCTCTGCCGGCAGAGTCGGCCCTGGAGGACCTCATCACGGAGGTGGTGCTCGCCAACAACCGCGGCGTATCGGCCTCCAAGAACATCTCCACCGGCTCCAACTGGAGCTTCGGCCAGAGCTTCTTCTTCTCGGCCACCGTGGTCACCACCATCGGTGGGTCCGGGAGGAGAGGGGGTGCACTGTTGTAAATAGTAAATACCCATAAGTAGGTCCTTCGCGGAGGAGGGCAGGGGGCTGCCGGCACTGTCACCACCGGAGGTTTCTAGTTTCTTTGGTACTCAGCAGCCCAACATCCCATCCGAAGATACGTCCTTCAGCCTTCGGAGCTCCGCCACATCACTTTCGATTGGTTCTGTGGTCTTCGGCTTTGCGGCATCACTACTGATGGGTCATTCGATCCTCAGGGCACTGCAACATCGCCAACAAGGACAGTCTTGAACCATCACCCAAAGCGCTGTAGTGCCACATGCCAACATGTAGCGTAGATCCAGATGTATTTACCGGCTCATATCTTTTCTCATTAATGTCCTCTGAAGAGTGCGAGCTCAGTTATCACAGCGTATTTGTGCAGCAATCGATCATTAAATACGGACACTGGGTGCCCGTCGCACGATCGTGAGCTAAGATTGCCATACTACACGGAAGTTGTCGTAGGTAATTCTTCACTACGAGCTCACATTCCCCCGACGGCGTGACCCATGTGTGGCTGTGCAGGGTGCATGTGGAGTGTGGAGCTGCCGGCAAGCTAATTCTGTAAATCGGATTACACATGTCCACCGGGCTCAGGGTTGTCCCGGGTCAAAGGTCATAGTATGCGTGGGCGAGGCGAGTTCACTTCTGTCAAATGGGCTTCAGGTGGACCATTGTCAGCCGGAAAGTTCAGGCTCTACCGGTCAATCGGTTGTGGCTTTAATGAGAAATGAGCTAAGTCAACCAGCTGAAATTTTCAGTGAACCATTGAAGTAGGTTTATAATCGACCATTATTTTCAATACATTTTGGAAGATAGAGAAGGGAACCAAGGAAATATTTTCAGAGACATTTGTAGGTTTACTTAGATACCAAAGTGCCAATGAAAAGTGTAAAAGCTCCACTTGGCTCCGTTTGTCTTCAATTTCTCTCAAAGCACGCGTCGGAGAGTCCATTTAGGAAAGTGTCGAACGGCCGCCGCGGCCCTGACAGCTCACCGGGCCTGTGTGCTGAAACTCGAGACGCCGCTGCGGAGTGTGGACGTGTTTGGACCCGTGGCGGTCTTCGGTCGATTGTTCGAGTGTTTGAGTTGTGAACGATACAGAGGGAGCTGAAGTGTTGTCACAGGTGCTATAGAACACCTGCTCTTGCTGAATGGGATCAGGGCCACGGGACAGGTGTAACAAAAACTACAACAAAAAACCAAACAGGTGTAAATTGGGTTAGCGGTTATAGTACAATGGGTCACAGTTCCACCTTTGTTACATGCCATTCAGGCCATTCGATTTAGGTTGTTGATTAGCCTTATGTAGATTTTGAATAACGACTTATAAGATACTAAACGACTTTCATATATCAAACGATACCGCGTTTGTTTTTGAAAGTGTGCCTTTGGCCGCTAAGATTAGTTACTTCTATTTTTCGTTTTATAAAGTTGTATTTTTATTATGTTTATTGTTTAAATGAAGCAACGATTTTACATTGCTCGAGGAACATTTTCCATTATCAATGACCATTGCATACTACTGTGATCGTAATTTGCATATATAAAGTTTCAGTATTCTTTTTTTTTTTAATTGGCATTTCGTCTTAGCCGACCACGCCAACGCAGAGAGGTTCCGTTTGCATAAACGCGTAGCTCGGAGCTTTATATATGCATAGCTTCATAAAGTCGCTGCCGGTAGTCTCGCTATCTCTGGATGTACACTGCAGGTTTAGGGGGGCCTCACTGCGTCTCACAGCTAATGGGGCCGCTGTCAGTGAGTCATTCCCGGAATGTGTTTCCTTCACCGCCGAGCAGGCCGCTGTCGACCCCGCCAGACACCAGCTCCATGAACAAGAGTGGTGGGCCTCGTTGGGGCGGCGCGGCGGCTGATGGCGCCCGTCCATTAACCAGCCACCTGGCGTCGTGAAATATCGCTCATTCAAATCACCAGTGCCACGTTAGCTGAGCCCGACCCGGTCCGACGGCCCGGTCCGACGGGCCGTTCCCGGTGATCTACGTGACCCGGGTGGGCTGCCGGTCCCCAGGGGGAGCGGCGATATGACATTAGGGTCAGCCGGGTCACTGCCGCCGGCGCCGACCATCCCTCTCCCGGACTGGGGTCTCCAGGGACCGCCACTCCGCCAGTAAGTGGGCTGGGCGGAATGGGCTGTCCGCGTGGGCGGAATGGGGGCGGAATGGGCTCCCCGGTGCCGGTCGTATCACACAGGAGTGGCGGAACCTCGGAGAAGGATCCGCCCGGAGTTGGTATGTAATATCTCCCTCATACAGTCAGCACTGCGATTTGATGGTTATAGGCCTTTGTGCTACCAACTTATAATCGCTTGTTTTTGTTTTATAAGGGTCAGGTTTTTATTGAATATAACGACTCATGCAAGTTGTTGGTTATCTTCGCTTTTTATTTATTTATTTATTTCACATAATCCGGTCATTCCACAGTACAGGGCTATCAGTGGCGTATCCAGGGGGGAGGCCAAGAGGCCATGGCCTCCCCCTTTGGCATCAAACATGCAAGTGGGCCCTTTGGGTCACTTGAGTGCAATGATGTACACAAGGGGGCCATGGGGGCCCTGAGGGACGCCCTGGTTACCTGACGGTCCCCCTGGTCACCTGAGGGTCCCTGGTTATCTGAGGGGCCCTGGTTACCTGAGTGGCCCCTGGTTACCTAAGTGGCCCCTGGTTATCTGAGGGGGCCTGGTTACCTGATTGGTCCCCGGTTATCTGAAGAACTCCTGGTTACCTGAAGGGCCCTGGCTACGGGGGCCCTGGTTACCTGAGGGGCCCTGGTTATCTGAGGGGCCCCTGGTTATCTGAGGGGCCCCTGGTTTCCTGAGCGCCCCTGCTTACCTGAGGGGCCCCTGACTACCTAAGGGGCCCGTGATTGCCTGAGAGCCACTGATTATCTGAGAGGCCCCTGGTTACCAGTGGGGCCTCTTGGTATATGAGGGTCCCCTAGTTATCTATCTAATCAGGGGCCCCTAGCTACCTGAGGGGCACCTGATCCCCTGGCCAGTGATCTGAAGAAACCCTCGTCACCTGAAGAGCCCATGTTTACCCGGGGAGTACCTGGTTATATGAAGGGCCCCTGCAGTCACATAAAGGCCCTTAGTTACCCGTGGAGCCCCTGGTATAACCGTCCCCTGGTTATCAGAGGGTCCCCTGGTCACCTGGTGGGCCCCTGGTCAATTGAAAGACCCCTGGTCAATTGAAAGACCCCTTGTCAATTGAAAGTCCCTGGTCAATTGTAAGGCCCCTGGTCACGTGAGAGGCCCCTGATTACCTGAACGGCCCTTTATCACTCAGATTCAATGGTATGGCCAGGGGCGAGGGGGCACGTGTCCGTTATAGGGATTAGGGTCCCCTCGCGCCCGAGAGGCCCTGCGGTGCCAATTGGCGACAGAGGGCCCGCGCTGGCATCGCTTCAACTGAAGAGGAGACCACAGGGCTTGTGAGAACACCCCATGGGCTCTTGTGTAGCCACACTTATCTCCAGAAGGGCCTCACGCCAGGTTCTGATGGACCTTGCCGGCCCTGAGGGCTCTTGCCGTCCAATAAGGGATCAGCTGTAAAGGCCCCATACCCGTTTGCTATGGCCCCACGGCCCACACTGGTGTTTCTGAGGGCCCTTACAACGGCGCCTGCGAAGGCCCCCACTGCCACCTCTAAGGGCCCCACACCAGTGCCTCTTAAGGGCCTACATCGGCGGCTCTGAGAGCCCCCACACCGGCGCCTCCGAGGGCCCTATGCACTGCAGCGCCCTATGCATCTGACGGTCACTTACCAGCGACTCTGAGGGCCTCTTACCGACCTCTGAGGGTCCCTTGCCGGCCTATGAAGGGCCACCATTAACTTTCAGGGCCCCACACACGCCTAATTGATGGCCCCCACCAGTGCCTCTAAGCCCTAAGGCCCTCACAACGGCGCCTGTGAGGACCCCACACCAGCGCATCTGACGGCCTTTCACCGACACCTCTGAGGGACTAATGCAGGTGACTCTGAGGCGCTCGTTCGCTTCACTTCCTCATAAAATACCGTGTATTTTATGCACACTTCTCAAGCAAAAAATAATACTTTTATCTGCCAATTTTGCACATTTTCTCAGGGCTAAGACAGACAGACAGACAGGCAGACAGACAGAGGTACCCGTCTGCAAGGGGGACCGGACCCATTGTGCCCAATCCCCTCATCGAAAGGTTTTGGATACGCCCCTGTCTGGGTTGACGGCGGCATCCGGGTGACCAGTGGGCCCCTTTGAGAGCAGGCGGCCCCCTCCTGGGCGAAATCCTGGCTACGTGCCTGCTTGAGTGTCCCAAGAGAAACAACCTTCAGGGCCTCATCCAAAGTACTGGCCCAAGCAGCAAGTCAAACTGCGTCAAACTATCTTAAAACGCCATTTGATGGCCCTCATAGGCCCTCAGAGGCCAAGGCCGAGCCCCCAGAGGCTAGCGTGGGCCCTCAGAGGTCGCTTTGGCGGCCATAAATAAGCTTAGACTCGAGCGTGGGATCCTTTGACGCTGGTGTAGAGCCCCAAGGAGTCAGCGCTTAGCCCTCTAAGACCAGCGTGGGGCCTTCTAAGGCCATTGTGGGATCTTCTAAGGCCAGTGTGGGGCCTTCTAAGGCCAGCGTGGGGCCTTGTAAGGCCAGTGTGGGACCCTATATGTCCAGCATGGGGCCGTCTATGTCCAGCGTGGGGTCTTTTAAGCCCAGCGTCATGGGACCTTCTTAGGTCAGATTGAGGCCCATTGGCCACCGAGACTAGCTTGGGGCCCTCTGAAGACAATGTGGAGCCCTTTTAGGCCAGTGTGGAGCACTCTGTGACCAGCGTGGGGTCATCTGTCATCTGACTTTAGACTTTAGAGGCTGGTGCTGGACCCTCAGAAGAAGCCAGCATGGGCCTTCATAGGCTGACTTCGGGCCATTAGTGGCCACCTCGTGGGCCTCGGCAGCCACTTTTCAGATCT